ACATATAAAACTTCGTCTATACTCTAATAAAAAGTTCCCCAGACCAAAGAGGTCACCTTAATACCAAAAAAAAAAAATAATAATAAAATTTTTTTTTTCTGGAATTTAATTCTGCAAAAATTTTTTTCCTTATAATAAATTATCATCTGTCATGGGTGTGAGAATGAGATATGAATTCTTAAACAATGTTGAATGAAAAGCATTGCGCGCACATTTTTTATATTAAAATGATCCAGTTTGATATACCAGATTTGAATTTATTTGATGAATATAGATTATATTAGCTGCAAATTATGCATTATTGAAACTGCAATGGGATATGCTCCCGGTAATATTGCGCTGAGAGATCATGGTAAGCAGTTGAGTTTGTGTAGCGTAATGCAGGCCGGCTGTTAGTATGAACATGTGATATTGATATTCAGTATTCGAAAATTATCGCTTTACACTACTTTTGTTTGGTTATGCCGGAGCAGGCCGGCTGTGAGCAGAGAAGAAGGTGAAAAATACCGAATATGCGGTAGAGAAGTACAAGAGTAGAGAAATGGTAGAATTCCGTCTGACTTTAATCTCAGTGAGTTGAAAAGAAGTCTGAACGATCTGAAGGGAATCCAATTTTCGGTGCTGTAGACATTGTTAAGGCTTGCATTGTTCATATGTCATTATCATATGAAGCAGCATGCTTGGATATGATTTCCCTTTCAATCAGCTTCTTGTTTCGGAATCGGCTTCTCGTGAGTAATCCTGCGGATTGTGGCGTGGGTGTGCCGCTTCACTTGTGATCACGAGATTCATTATAACTTCGCATTTGAAAACAATTAGCTAAGATTTGTGTGCTATCAAGTCATTCTTATTGCCGCCTTTATTAAGTTAGTGATTTCTACTTGTGGAAAGTCATTTAGATCATACTTACCTCCTTTGATAATCCAGAATTGGACTTATTCCGGCCAATGATTTCACAAGACGCATCAACATGTGTACGTTAGCACATGCGGAGTGATAATGGATCACGTGAGGCGGTACACCCACGCCACGATCTGCAGGATTACTCACGAGAGGCCAATACTGAAACAAGAAGCTGATTGAAAAAGGGAATCATATGCGAAGATGCTGCTTCATATGATAATGACATATAAGCAATATAAGCCCCAAAAATAGAATCTGAAAGAAGAATAGGAAGCTCTTGATAAAACCACGGCGCCAAATACTGGATTACCCCAGTGTCAAATTTGATCAATCAGACTTCTTCTCGAAAAAAAAAAAAAAAATGTCTAATGAACCCAGAAATTCGTCATCAAGCATGGACCCACAGATAAAAGAATACATAGACAGTGCATGCCAAGCAACAGTATCTACACTAATAGAAAAGGTAAAGGAACTAATAAGTCAACAAGCCGAAAACCAAAGGCAATGGAATGAACGAATTCAAAATACTATGAACGAGCGGTTCAATAAACTAGAGCAAGTTGGCTTGATGAATGACAGATCAGAACCGAACAGTAATCATGCAGCTGAAGAAGAAAACAACAACCACACAACACTGATAACAATATGTTCACCACTGGAAGCAAGGGACGATATCCTACAAGGTAATTACCCACCTACTCCTTTGCTTAACAATATGATAATCAACACAGGATCGCCAGTCGCAACAGTACACATAAACAATGAATCTCTAGTGACAAAAACAAAATATGGAAATATTTGTCAATAAATTATTCAACGTTGAAACAGCTTCCAACAGTCCAAGGGTTCACAAACCCATTAGTAGCAAATATCGAGAGTAAAAGGTTATGGTGGATTTCCAATTGGTCCGAAGGACAAAAAATAATTAAAATGTTATCTTGCAAACCCAACTTGTCGTCAAGGTTATGGAAATCAATAGCACTTGGAGCTTATATCGAACTCCCAGAATTCGCTTATAAAAAATATAAAAGCAAGTGCAAAACATCATCATGATAACATATCTCTGCAAGCTTCGGAAGGTGATTATATAGCTGGCAGGAAATGACCAACGTATAACAGATTCAACGATATATCTGAATGGCTACTAGCATTTAGAGAATATATTGAGACAGTTCTTATAATTTATGACGAAAGGGAACAAGAGTTAAATTTTTACCGAGATCATATAAGCAATATGTGTGTACAGTACGAATTTGCCACTGTAATGGCATATGATGAAGATCGTCGACTCGCACTAGCAATGGATCGGGATACTACACTGATCAATAGAAATATAGAAGCCGAAGGGGACAACTTTGATGTAAAAACTACTAAAAGGCAAAAATTCAACAAACCACGCCCTCAAGAAATGACACAACTTGGCACGATGGTCGTGAGATTTGCATAAACTAGAACAGGAGAAACTGCAGTGATGACAAAAGATGTGGGAGAGTACACGCATGTTTATCTTGTAAAAAGATGGGTTATCAGGAGCGAAGATGTTTTGCAAATAGCAATAGCAACAATTTGAGACCCAGACAGAATAAGCAGTCAGAAGCGTGATAAGTTAAATGATAATTAAAAAAAAAAAAAAAATTAAAAACTAAAAAAAAAAAAAAAAAAATTTAAAAACTAAAAGAAAAAAAAAAAAAAAAGAAGAGAACAGTAAACAAATACATGCATACGATGATTATGGGGAGATAAAAGTACAGATAGAACAACATTAGCACAACTACATAGAGGCATATAATTATACATAAAAAAAAAAAAAAAAAAAAAAGAGTCAGAAACTAACCAAGGCAATAATGTATCCAGACAATAGATATAGTCTGGAGTTTCATCACATGGCTCAGTATAGACTATCACGAAACTTAACGACATGTAACCCACCAGTTCTCCAGTCAGTAAATGAGACTTTGCACAGCATTCCTCCACGACATGTTCTTTTTATAGCAGAAGAATCAAAAATCCTCTCCCAGATTAGCCCCAACAAATTCAATGTGAGAACAACGATAGACGTACAAGTATTTAGAACACTCACAAACCACTACCCTAATCACCTCTTTATAGAATACCTAACACAAGAGATCACGAAGAGTTTCAGATTTAATTTTTTAATCGCAAGGGTAAAAAGAATCCAAGAAAACTTAAAATCAATTAAATTAGACCAAACGGCATTTTTAAAATACATTCAAGAAGAAGCAGAGAAAGGCTGCATATGCGGTCTATTTTCAGAAGAGGAACCTCCATGTGACCTTTATCAAGTGAACCCTTGTGGTTTAGTCAAAAAAAAGGTGACAAACCCCAAAGTGTTCCGAGTGATATCTCACTTATCAGCACTATTCAGTGCAAGCATTAATGACGGCATTGACCCCAGTGAATTCGCAACCAAATATGAAAACGTGAGTCATGCAATAAGGTGGATTAATTTGTATAGAAAAGGGTGCATGTTATCCAAAATAAATATTAAAGATGCATATCGGATATTACCTGTACATCTGGTGGATCAAGTTCTGCAGGGGATGAAGTTGGGCGAAAGCATTTACTTCGATAAAGCATTGGCTTTCGGGAATAGAGCATTTGGGGGCATTTTCTGCAGATTCGCAGACGTAATCACGTGGATTGCCACCCAGCAAGGAATCAGATCAATCATTCACTACGTCGATGATTTTTTAATAATATCAAAGACTAGTGGCGAAAAAGAACTGCAACAATTCTTACAGATATTAGACATAATCAAGGTGCCCTTCAAGGAATCGAAGTTAGAAGGCCCTAACACATGCATAACATTTCTTGGAATTATGATAGACACAGAGACTATGTCTGTGTTAGTTCCACCCCAAAAGAGATAAAAGATACAAGAATTACTTGCAGAATGGCCGCCAAAACATGGTGTCTTAAAAGAGACCTCCAATCGATCGTCGGGTCCCTGATGTGGGTATGTCAGTGCTTCCCCAGGGAAGACCGTTCGTACAGAGGTTTATCAAAGCACAGGAAGGAGTAAAAAATCAGAAACACCATGTAAGAATAACCAAGCCCATGAACATAGACATACAGTGGTGGATCAATATCATAGAAAAATGGCCTGGCATCTACCTAATGGAAGACCAAACCTGGCAAATTCCAAACATACAAAACTTGTACACAGATGCATCAAATATAGGTGGCAGGGCAACGTTCAAGAACTATTTCACTGCATTCAAATGGGCAAATAAAGATGCTATAGCCGAACATGATATCCAGGAACGTAAACTACTAACGACATTCATAGCAATTCGCACCTTTCTACCATTATGGGCCAGAAAAAAGCTAATAATATGGACGGATAATTTAGCTAATGCGGAAGCTTACTACGCCGGGTTTTGCAGAAACCCTCAAATAAATAGGATTATAGCTCAGATATACGAAATTCAGATTCAGGAGAATTTTTCAGTAAAATTAGAGCACATACCAGGCAAACTAAACAGGGATGCAGATTTGCTATCACGGAGTGGCCATAAAGAATACCTGTTCAAACATCCTGCAGCACGGTACCTTCAACCTAATATTCCACCGGAATATGCTAATACAATTTCCTTTATTCCTTTACTACTACAATAGATCTTACAAGCCAAGAGCAGAACGGACAAGGAAATGACAAGACCGGTAACATCAGATTTGAGCAACACCAGGTTACCAGAGGTTTCAACAACACACACCCCTAGACCAGCAGGCAGCAAAGATTTTAAATATTGAACCCCCGAAACATAAAACGTATGAATCAATTATCAAACGATACCAAACATTAGCTCATAAACAACACTGGAGAAACGAGGATGATAGTATATGGCCCATATCTAGAGAATCACTAATCAAATTTATTAAATCAATATGCAATGAGGTTTCCCTACCGACGATCTTGTCTTATCTGTCGGCACTAAAATTCCATCACTCGAGAAACTCGCATGATTGGGCACCAGTGCGAAATGACCCGTTAATAAGAGAAATATTAAAAACAATTGATGCAAATCACAGACATAAGCCTGTACAGCAAAAAAGGCATATTACAAGAACCCACCTGGATCAAATAAGGTGAAGCATGAATTTTAGAGAATCAGACGATTTACTCTTTTGGTTAGTGGCACTGACTGCATTTTACGGTCTCAAATGGCTTGGTGAGCTTTTACCAGACCACAAACTCGATGAAAGCAAAGTTCCCCAATTACATTCTTTAAGGTTTGAGCATACCGACTCCAAGACATTTGCAACAGTTCAACTCGCAAGAACCAAAAAGCACAAGGCCGCAATAAGAGCCACACTCATAATAAACCCAACCAAGGACAACTTATGCCCCATTAAATCACTCAAAGCATACATCGTTCGACGTACATTCCCATCCTATGCACCTGGCAGCGAGCTATTGTTTGTAAAAGGCAACAGCTCATGGGCCACAAAACGATGGTTTTGTAAAAGACTACGATCAATTCTACCCAACACTGACGTATCAGGACACAGCTTCAGAGCAGGCGGCGCCACAGAGTTGGTAATACAGGGGTGCAACCTATAATGATTCAGAAGATTGGCCGGTGGGATTCAGAGGCATTTTATAGATACATATGTGCACATCCCACCATGATCGTGCATATATTGATGAAAGCATACAACGTGTGATCTCAAAAAAAAAAATAAAAAAATCTACATCTTTGGAACAAACTCAATCACACGTTGTAGGTAGACCAGTTCAAATAATAACAACAATAATAAATAAAAAATAATAGTGGCAAAGCAACGCTCGGGAATATACATATATCGAAACTACATAAAACAAAATTAAAAAAAAAAAACAAACCAAAACAAAAACTAAACGAAGCATCCAAAACGGGTGCAATGTATATATATGGATTAATGAATAAAGTAAACTATCCGAATGAGCATAAAAAGATAAAACAACAATAATAATAATAATAATAAGGAAATGGTAGAATGAAATCTTTTGGACGGGATTCTACCATTTCTCTACTCTTATACTTCTCTACCGCATATTTGGTATTTTCACCTGTTCACAGCCGGCCTGCTCCGGCGGGCGGGAAACCACCGGCTGATCAATCCTACGGCGACTCCCAGTGCAATGATTGTTGCATACTTCTCGGGATGTCTTTGCCGTTCTGGCTAATCGCGGCCAGTCACTTGCTTATCTGCCATCATGTACTAAATTCCGTTTGACTGTTTTAATAAAAAACTACCTCCGGCCTAAATAATGCCGGCATAGTCCAAACTTGAGTAGTGTAAAGCGATACTTTTCGTGCGTATTAATTTGCTTCATAATGGTATGAATAATGGAATAGCTATTTTTAAAATTTGTAGAACGTTGCAGATCACTATACCTTGAAGGGTTCAGGTTTCCAGGGCTTTCAAGGCTCTCTAGTCAGGGTGCCACCTGCGCCCTCCTTACATTGTAAAATATATGGTCCAAAATTACAGTAAAGGCGGTTCTAATAATCACAATTCGAACTTAATCAGATTATTTTTGTAATACATATCAATTGTAGATAATTTACTTTCTTTATTATGATCAATATTGAGCACAAATCGCATCCAAAACCAATCGCATTTTGAAATAAGTACCATATGAATTTCACATTTCATGGTAGAGAATAGCTTAGGTATAACTTACCCGAACATGTTAATTCCTATTTAATTTATGCAGTTTAAAGTACTTTTTCAAAAAATTAGCTAAGAAAAAGTTTTATTAAAATTATAACATTATAAAAAATAATCAAATATTCATTC